CACGCAAGCACAAGGTCCCAAGTTCGATCCCTGGTACAAAAAAAAAAAAAAAAAAAAAAAAAGGGGGAAAAAAAAAAAAAAAAAAAAAAAAAAAAAGGGTGACATCAAGTACAAAGCAAGCCCAGTTTAAAAGGTCAACATAGAAACCAATAAACTATCCTCTAAAATATACATAAATGATAGAACTATGACAAAAGACAAAGGAGGTCAATCTGCAGTGTCTCTCACTGTGCCTTTCCATCCATTAGTTCTGGATGGCAGCAGTCATGTGCCTTGGGACTTGGCAGTGTCCTGTGGAGCCCTGTGTGCTTCTGGTCTCCAGAGGCTGGGGTACAGGAACCATCAGCTCACTGCCTTGCATGGGGGCTGCACAGACCCCTGCACTGTGCTGCAACTTCCCTGTGATCCAGGGGTGCAAAACAGAAGGGAATGGTGTCTGAGTTTGCTGGGCTTCTAACTGATGATGCAGGCAAGAAAAAGTAGTATCTTTTCCTCACCTAGACAACTTCATAAAAAAGAGGGATCAACAAAAGCATAACAAATGCATTAATGTAATTTTTGTGGCACTGGAGGCTTCAGAAGCAAAACTCCAAAGATCCAGGAAAAAATATGTGTTCTTGTGATGGTCACACAGGAGTATGATTGGAAGATACTGGGGAGTAATCTCATGGTAGTAACTTCAGGGAGAGGAACTGGGGAAGCCTGGGTCTTTCCTGGCTTGTTTGTGATTACCCTTCCCTTTGGTAGCAGGGAAGGACCCTTCCAGAATGAGGGGGTTAGGACTTACTTTCAAAGGGTGGGTAGAGAAATCTTCCATGGAAACTCTCAGGGAGGAAGGAGGAAGAAGCTAAGGGAGTGCCCTTTCTGCTTCTGCATTTTTCTCAATTTCTTTCAGCTTAAAATATTCAGGAAAAATATTCAGTACACCAAGGTCCCATATTCTGGGGTGTCATATTCTGAGACCTGAGAATTGGATTTAAAAACTTTCACATTCATGTACATACTCCTAATAGACTAAATTAGTTGAAGCAGTTAAATGACATAATCAACTCTGTGAAACAAAAGTGTCCTTATCAGTGTCTGCACAGCCCTAGCAATCCAACCATCACTGGGTGGGTGTGTGAGAGGAGAGAGAGTGGGGAGGTGGGAAGGGGAGTAGGAATGGATGCCATTGGGGAGGTAAACAGAAGTAAAAAGTATGAAGTTGGGATATGTACAGGAACAAAATCTCAATGGAGAATGTATACCTAATAAAATAAATCAAAAGAGAAGAGATGGGGACCTCAAATCACCCCAGCCAGGGAAGAGCTTCCTGCCACAGAAAAGTGCTTCTTGATGTGAAAACAAGTGGCACAGAAAAATGTGTGGAATCAAAGAAGTCCACACTGAGAAGGCACTGTGAGTGTTCAGAGAGTAAGCTGCAGTCCAGGCTAGGGTACTTATGTGTTCTTGGGGGTGTCAGGGACTTAGGATGTGTTTTCCTAGTGTTCTCAGGCTACCCGTTAGTGAGCTGGTTCAGAATGCAAACTGTTTGCATGCGTTTGAATTTCATACATAGTGTGTATATAATACTGAATCCTAGGGGTGGAAATCAGTGGAATTTGTGAACCTGTAGTATTAGAGGGAAAGCACTGGACTATTTTATAGGAGAACAGCACAGCTCCAGTTTATAAGCTTATTATACTTTAAAGACCTTAGTATTTTCTTTTTCTTTATTGAGACATGAGTATTCTGGAAGGGAAAACATTAATGGTAACCTTGGGTAAATTTATGTCTTGAAGCTAATGTTTTCTTAAAGTACAATTCAATCATTGCCATTTTTCTGTCTCTTTTCTTTCTATGCTTGTCTTCTATCCTATTTCACAGCTGTTATAGGATTGTGCTAAAATAATCAAGAAATAATCACAGGACTGCAATACTGAAAATGAAGCCTCAGATATGAAGATACTCCACTTTTCATTGTTTTCCTTTCATTTCATGTACTCTTGCTTTTCTTCTTCTACCCAGAGCCAAATCTATGTGGCCTCCATATTACAACCTTTCCCACACACTCACATGGCTTCATCCCTGATTCTTTTCATGTTCTCTCCTGAGTCTGATTTCTCCCCCAGCACCAGACTATTTATGCCAAACCTGAGCAACCATGACATCATGTACAGGAAAAAGTGTAAATTAAGTCCGTCTCCCCATCCTGTATAACTTGGTCTCTCCTGTTACTCAGAGAAAACTTCCATATCTTCTCTTCACATGGCTTCCTGCAATGGATTTTTTAATATTTGAAACTTCCTACTTCTATACTACAGCACTCCAGGTGCTCTGTCATCTGCTCCCGGCATGTTTTCAGATTCATCTTCTCCACTCTTTATTTATGTTAGATAAGGGACTCTGTTCCACCTTTTGGACAAACTATCCTGGTTCCACTACATGGGCACTGGCTGTATTTCCTGCCTGGGGGGCTGTGTACCTCTTCTTCCTGTCCCCTCTATTTTTCAAATGCCGTCCCCTGGGGACCATCCTGAACACCACAGCTAGGCAGCCCTCCACCTATCTCCACCTTCCCATGTTGTCATTGTATTTCCTGTGTACCCTACACCATCGATTGTGTCTTTAACCTTCTTATGAAATATAAGTTCAAAATATTAAACATACAGAAATTTAAAACCTGTCTATGTCAAACTGAACTCTGAATGGTTAATCAGTGTGCATGGGAAGAAATAGAAAAGTAGCCACACCAAGAAGCCTGCCCACACACCCATCCAGTGATAGATCTTCTAAGAGCACAGACTAGTTTTACTGGATCTGCACTTCATATAAATGTATTTCTTGAGTTGGACATGTTGATTATAGGATTAATCCATGTATCTCCAAGTAGTATTAGAACATCTAATTTTATGGTATTGTTGTAACAAACTAGAACAGCTCATTGCTATAGCCAAGTGTTATAGCTTAGTGTCACTGCCAAGTGCCAGAGCTCTGAAGCACAGGTGAGTGTTACATCTCAGAGTTATAGCTCTGGGTGGCAACTATCTCAATTTGAAGACTTGAGAATGCAAAGATCACTGAAAGAGGTGGAGAAAATGCTTTTATTTTGCTGGCTTTCTCAGAGAAGTTCATATCCTGAAGTCTGAGCACTTCAACAGAAATGGGAGCCTCCTTATAGAAGGATCTACTATGTAGGTGAGCATGCTCACTGAAGCAGATGTGTAGAGTTACAGAACATTCCTAAAACACATACTGGATGAGCATGCTCACAGAAGTAGAGGGTCAGTGTTAACAGAACATTACTGAAAGAGACAGAAATAGCAGAATATTTCTTAATGGTGACAAGCTAACAGAACATTCTTGAAAGGTCATGCACTTCAAACACTTGCAAAAAAAATTGATACATTGGACAGGAGCACTGCAGCACAAACTGTTACATTTCTGGAACAAAATATTTTGTGGAAAAAACATGGAGGCAAGACAAGGGCAAGGCAAGGGGATGTCTTATTGTACATTATTACTGTATCAATATGAGTATGTCATGATGTACTTATCCATTTCACCACCAGTGAACTTGTGCAACCCCATACAGTTTACATGTTGCTGTTGTCTCTTGTTGGACATTATGGATATATCTATCAGGAGTTGACCAAAGATGAATGTGCTGGGTACAGGTTATGGTTATCCTCAGCTTTGTCAATACTACCACAGACAACATGATGGGCATATAAATTTTATTTGATTTGCTTTTTGTCTCTTTGCACAGTCTTTCCTCCACTGGAATGTGAATTTTTTAGGGCAGGGGCTTTGTCTCATTCACTGAATGAATGAGAAAGCTATGTCTATAGGATAGAATGTTTTACTGGTAACATTTCTAGAAATCTTGGCACCTACTACACAAAAAAACCTAAGGTCTGTACTTGAAGGCCACTGTCCTTACCTGCTCAATGAGCTCAATGAGCCTTGTGCTGAGAGGGTTAGAGGACAAGAAACCAAACAGGGCACATCGATGATTAATTTTATAGAAAGATTGACCAATGTGGTGTTGGCCATGCCATGATGAAGTTTCTATAATGACATTTCCACATGGCTCCTAAAATTTTCATTGAAACCACCACTTCCATTCTGCAGGAATTCCTTATATAACTGTGGTAGGGCTTGTACATGATTGGTCATCTGCTTTCTAACCTCAAGTCCATGATGACTGGGAACATGGAGATAAACATAAGCTAACCGGTATTACCTGGACAGGTCATGGTTTACCTGGAGGACAATTTAACATCTCTGAAAAGTGTTTCCATAACTTCCTAACCCACAGAGTTGCATGTTTCCCAAGTGCTTCAGGAAGCTCCTCAGAGCATGTTCTTCAGACCTCTGCTCTGGGCCTTGTTCTTTGTTTTTCATCCATTGGTTGTAACTTATCACACACAGAGTCTTCACTCATGCATTGCAAAGAAACAGAAGAAAAGTACTGATGTTTTACTCAAATAATAACAATCTCTGACCTCAGTGAGGATGATCAGCATTTGAGCGAACTCTGCTCAGTGACCCTTCCAACAACCAGAGGATGAGAGCACAAAAACACCTCATCAACTCTGCTGAGAGGCTGTCAGGGAGGATAGCCTACCCCATCTCTTTGTAGGGTGAACTTGACTTATACACCAGCACCATGTCCTATCTTCCCTCCTGCAACTCTTGATATTGTCCATGACATTTGAAGTTTTGAGTGATTTTTTTTTATAGTTATAAGAGGCTAAAGTCCTGGGCAAAATTTTCTCATTTGTGTTTGTGGAAGACAGTGGATATTAATTACATGTAGTCAAACATGTGAAGAGGGTAGGAAAAGTGAAGATATCAGAAAGAAAGGAAGAGATGAAAGAAGAGGGGTTAAGAAGACAGGTTTGTCAATGTTTCCTTTCCTGTGCACCCCAACCATTCCTTCCAGTTCATCCTACAGTGCAACATGGCCAACCTAACTCAGTGTCCCCATTCTTATGCCCATGAGATCAAGCCAACCCTCAGAAGGCCTCTCCAGACACTTGCTGGGAAAACCTGATCCTCGCCAACACCCTCCTCAGTGCCCCAGCCACATCCTTGTTCCTTAGGCTGTAGATGATGGGGTTCAACATGGGTGTGAGGATGGTGTAGAACACAGAGAAGACTTTGTCCTGGGCTGGTGTGTGGTAAGAGTGTGGCAGCATGTAGGTGTACATGGCAGCCCCATAGAACAGGGTCACCACGAGCATGTGGGATGAGCAGGTGGCAAAGGCCTTCTTCCTCCCCTCCACAGAGCTCATGAGGTAGACAGTGGTCAGGATGCGGGCATAGGAAGTGATCACCACAGAGAAGGGGATGAGCAGCATCAGTACACAGCACACATACATCACCATCTCATACAGGGCTGTGTCTGCACATGCCAGGCTTAGCACAGCAGGCGCCTCACAGAAGAAGTGGTGAATCTCCCGGGAGCCACAGAAGGGGAAGCTCATGGTGATGGGTGTGAGGAGGAAGCCATCCAGAGAGCCCCCAAACCAGGAGCCTGCTATGATCATCCAGCACACCCGGCGGCTCAGGAGCACCGGGTACCGCAGGGGGTGGCAGATGGCCACATAGCGGTCATAGGCCATGAGCCCCAGCAGGAAGAACTCAGCCCCTACCAGGGTGAGATAGAGGAAGTGCTGAACTGTGCATGCCACAAAAGAAATGCTTCTCTGGCCCAGCATATAGTCAACCAGCATCTTGGGCACGATGGTGGAAATGTACATCATATCGATCAAGGAAAGGTGGCTGAGTAGGAAGTACATGGGTGTGTGGAGGTGTGAGTCAGTGTGGATCAGAAAGATCATTATCCCATTGGACAGCAGTGAGGTGAGGAAGATGGCAGAGATGGTGGCAAACAGGAGACCTGAGGTTTCCTCTCTGGTGAACAGTCCTAGGAAGATGAAGTCTGTAGAGGATGTGTTGTGCCCTTCCGTTGCCCCTACCATGGCACTGAAGCAGCCTCAGATCTTCCAAGTGAAATGATGGATGATGTTCCCAGGGAAATAAAATGACTATACAAATTCATTGTTAAGCATAAGCAGTCTAAAAGGTGAAAAAAATTGAAACATCTGTATGTTCTAGTATTTATATGCAACAATTTTTATAAGAATGTTAATTTTTACAAATTTTAAATAAAAAGTGATTCATAATCAAATATTTTAAGAATATTTTGGACGAGATATCAGGAGATGGTACTGCACTACAATAATACTGATAACAAGAGCTTAGGGTATATATTATACCATACAGCAGCTGAACATACCATGTAATATTGTGAGTATTTGTGAACACATTGCCTTAGGTGAATTTAAACTGATGTCATTAGTAATTGAACCTTCATTATGGTCAGCATAACCTCCATCTTTAAAACACCTTGATTCTTTTGACTTGTCTTATGTTGTCACTCAGTCAGTAGTGTGAATATTCTAGGACTTGGGCCTGAAATCCTAGGCTACATCTTGGGCAGACACTTCCTGTCAGGCCATCCAGACTGTGAGGAATGAAATGAATTGGGTGATACAAACTATTCTTGTATACTCAGGCTGAAAGAATCATCCAATAGAGAAATTACAGTAAAAAATGGTTTTTGTTCATTTTTATGAAAATTGTTTTCATTTTAGGATGATGATGATTTATCATTTAAATTATGATTAGCATAATCATTAACAATCACTATTAGCCTTAAAGATTCAGAGGAAATAGTGCAGGGATATACATATTGAGCTATTTTCCACCTATTATTTTTGGGAATTGGAATTTATTTTGTAGTACTTATTAAGAAAAACTCAAATGACAGTGTCTCATTTAATTTTAGGTTATGATAAAGAATAAAAATTCAAACACTATATGAGAGTAAAGGAAAATTTCTCATGTTTTAAAGCTAAATATGTGCAAGGTACTTTACCAAACTGTGAGCTAAATTGACCACAGTAATCTAATACTTCTCTAAATATTCTAAAGTTGTGAGCACTTGAGTTAATTGCACAGAAAAAATAATACTATTAAAAACAGTGGTGATGGCACTGTGAAGAGTTTACTCTGTGCCAGAGGTGTGCTAAGAAGTGTTTTGTATCTGTTGACTTTTGGTCCCCACTCAGGTTAAACTCAGGAAGCAGGGAGCTAGGAAATCCTTCTTTGGCACAGAAATTGGAGGGTCATGTTGTGATCAGGCTGTTAGTGGGGCAGGGTCTGGACTGGCAGTGTCAGCTCATTCTGTGTTTTACCCATGCACAGACCAAAAGCTACACCTCAAGTGTACCCACTACATAACATATGCGAACCATGGGAATCTCTGAGAACTTTACCTGAGTATAATTATTAATTTGATTAGTGAAAAATGTTCATAATTGAGAACTCACACAACTTATTACTATCTGTGCTGCTGTTTTTAAGAGGGTAAGTAATATTTACAGTTTTATTTCATTCTGCCTATTACAGAATCTTTGTTCCATATTTCATAAAGTTTCCTAATACTATGTGTAATTTCATCTCATTTACAATCTGTATCTTCTGTCTTATGACTATTATTATTTGCAGTGTTGAGGATCAGACTCAAGACCTTGTGCCTGCTATGGATGTAGTCTAGTAAACCATGCCTTAGAAGGAAAACTTCTGCGCAGTTAGAGAAATGGTCTGAGTATTAGTTCTTCGACAGTCTCCATTTTATGTTTAACTTTTATCCTATCTTAAGTCCTCAATAACAAGGAGAAGCAATGTGTTCTGTTGCATCCTTAAATATGTTTCTAGGCTCTCTGTCCATACTCACACCTTATGGTTTTTACAATTTTTTTAAAAAAAAATTATGTGAAAGTAAGACAAAATTTCATAACAAAATTATAAGAGAACAGTAGTTGATATACTGTGCATCATTACCTTCAAAACAGTTACTCAAAGTACAAGACGTAGACCTAAAAGATTCTCTCTCACACAAAGGAAACATGCAGATAATAGCACAAAGATTTCTTTTCAGTGAACAAAGAGAATCTAGTAGTGTAAATGAAACAAATTACCATATACATTAAAATGCTTTTGAGTCAGTAGAGTAGGTAATTTAGGGGATTGTTTGAACTTCTCCCTACTTCCTAAAAATCTATCTTATTTGTCTATATATATTTTATATATCACACCGCACTGTCTACATTCTTCTCCAGCTAGTGAATGGAGAGCTACTTCTGTTTTGCAGAATACCAGCTTTTTCTTTTTTCTCATAAAAGGTCTAATTTACCAGAGAGCAAGCCCTGGCAATGTGAACTCCAATTTTAAATGAAATATCTGGTGCAGTGTGCTATCTGCTCTCACTATGAGGAGAATAAAGAGATGGAACTATACATGTTGCTGGGCACAGACTGTCACTTTGCTATGATGTGGTATGAAATAAATGATAAGAAGGCATCCACAATGATTCAGTGCCTTTACACAGGAAGTTTTATCTGCAGTGATGGAGTAGACACACAGTGAGACAAAATGCAGAGCTGGATGACCTGAGCTCTTCTCCTCACCACATGACCTAAATCTGTGACCCTGGAGTGTCCTCGAGTTCCCTGAGCCTCACTATCTGTATATTAGGTTGGGCTAATGAAGCACACAGGACTGCTTTAAGGATTAAATAAGAAATTTAGATTTAGAGGTGAAAACATTTTATACAATACAAACTAGAATGCCAGTGATATACACATATTGTGATTTTTCAACACTATTGGTAAATATGTGAGAATTCCCAATCTCTTTTTTAAACATTCCAGATACTCAACTAAAATCTAAATTTGAGTGGTAAATACCTTCTGATCAGCAGGTCTGTAAAGCTGGGAATCCAAGCACATTTCAGTACTTGGAATCTGTTTCTTTTTTCTCAAACATCCCTTGACTTGAAGGAAATGGCATTAGTGGAAATTTTCAGGAAAAAATAGATAAAGTGTAACTAAGCCTGCAAGAAATGTATATGTCTCTGAGGGGCATTGATATATTTGGCCTGCAAATTGTGCCCAAGTAACAAAAGTTATCGGATAACATGGCATGACTATTGAATAAAATAATCTTTCAGGCTTCACTAGGTTGCTGTTTATTACATAACATCACACACTAACAGAAGGCCAGGCATTCATTCCATGATGACATTTTCAAGTACCCTCTCCTGGACTTATGGAGTGCATGTTTGGTTGAGCACACAGAGAAAATTCTGTCTCCCTCCCGGCTGCAGTTTGATGGCAGGATGGAATCCTGGAGCAGGTCTATGATGATCACGATACCCATCACTCATATCAAATGACAGTCGACTCTATTTACAATTTGCCACTGCTCGGTTACCACCAGTGAGGCTTCTGCCAAGTGAAAGACCAGCACCCATGTTCCTGCATCACTGAGTCCTGCTGCTGAGAGCTTCTGTGCTGCCTTGGATCAAACCTACCCTCTGCTCCTTCTTCTGGCCCATCCAATCTCTGCAAAGCAATCTTCTCCCTTTTTAACACTAAACGCTTCTTACTATGAAGTGGATACTGCTTTCCTTCATACTTTTATGGGCCAGGCTTTCCTTTCCAAATATCATGGATAGTCCTCTATGAATTCTATAAAAATGCTCCAGTTTGATGTATTTTCATGGGATGATCTTTGAAATGTCCTTTTAAAAGTGTGATATCTTAGTTTATAAATGTGACCAGAGTTATGAGCTTCCAGTGCAGGATACACTGGAATATTACTTTTCTGCTTCCATATCAGAGACATCATTTCAAGTCATTATATACATATTAAAACTTATTTTCACACGAGAGGTTTTCAAACCAGGTCAAGATAAGATTTTACAATGTTGAAATTAAATGTAAAAACATATTACTAAGTCTTGTCTGTGTTCCTAAATCTTTCTCAGTATTTCAAAAATTGAAATCATTAGAATAAAGTCAAACTTAAGTGGAATCATAAACAATTAGATATTAAAACATTCATGTACTCAGTCAGTTTGAGAGACTTAGAGCCTCTCTCCTAGAGCCCTGTGCCAGGACCCTAACTGTCCAGGAGCAGAACAAGGCCACCCCTGCAGACCTGCTCTCCTGGTGGGGTCCATGCTATGCCTGGGGGAGGTGGACAGCAAAAATGCCCATGAACTGGATCTGGGTCCCTGAGCAGTGCAGGTGTCCACATTGTAGAAAGTGACTTGTGGATTTATTTGACCCATGTGTAAGGCAAAGAGCCTGGACTTGAAGGACCTGGCAGAGCAGCCCTTCATGAGCTCTGGGATTTTAGAGCAAGAATCTTCAGCTTTCCAGTCTTCTGTGTCTTTATCTGAGAAACAGGACAAGAACCCAGGACCAGGCACTGTGTAGATAACACCAGGTGCTTCATGGTCTGCATGCTAGAAACTGAAACCAAGAAGACCTTCTTTGTGTAGCCCTTCTGTGCTTCTATCTAGTGCTGTCCTGGACCAGTCCAATTCACAAGACTGAGTTCCACTTAAGACAAAAAGGTATTAAAGGAGTACAGTTTTACTAGGATTATACACACAGCTACTGTGGAGGAAAGATGAAGTGTGCTGCCCTGATCAGCAGCCCCTTTGCAACCTGGGATTGCAAGGCCCATGGCAGATTCTGGAGGCTGCATTCTGCTTCCCAGAGCAGCTGGCCTCCAGGTTGGGGTGGGGTCACCTCTCCTCGACTGGACCTGAGCCTGACGTGGGCACCGCAGCCACTGCAGCTCATCCTTCCTCAGATTCCTCAGATTTGACCTCCATGACAAGGGGATCAATAGATGGAGGGGGAAGAGCAAGGGAGGAGAAGAGGTGCAAAAAGCATTGTGCTGTGTTCTGTACGTGCACCAACTCCCCACAAGCAGGGCCATTGTTATTCACTGCAGACATGGAGTCAAAGGAATTTTAGAAATGTAAAAAGAATATAAATTCAATCCACCCTCTCTGTAATGTGGATAGTCAGTCATTGCCTCACACATGGCATTTTTAAAG